TGCTTCCGTCGGTGGAAACCTGGTCCTGGGCGTCGGAGATGGGGGGAAAGACCGGGGTGAGCAGGCCCAAGTCTGCGGCGGAGGCCGTGCTCGTTGGGGGCTTCGCGAAGGAAGGGGGCGCCTGGGCTCGCGCGATGTGGCGGTTCGCTGGGGCTTGCGTGCGGCACGACATTCGGTGAGGAGAGCGAAGGGGTACCTACCCACCTACCCACCTACCCACCTACCCACTGGTGGCAAGGTTGTCGTGGGGTGTTCATGTACACGTAGCCGTCGTCCTTCGACCGTAGACCCCGCATCCCTACAATGCCGGCACGGAGTGATTTGCCCGGCCCAGCCTAGGTTTTACAAGGACGAACCAGGAGCTGGTCGTCCTCCTTGCGGTTGCTGTACATGCCAATCGAGATATGCCATGGGTTCATTGGGCATCCTGGCTAACCAGCCGGTGGGGGGAGGGGGCGGCGTTTTCGTGTAGTGCATACCTTTGTTGTTGAAGCATTGGCCGGACGTGCTCCAGAGGACCGTGCACATCCAGAGGTGGGAGGGGGTGGGTTTTAACTGGGTTGGAGATTTTAGGACCTCATTGCCCACAAAAGGAATGGACAGGAGGAAATGAGGAAGTCACAGGATTGGGTGATTTGTGTTGTGATGGTACGGCTGCGAGCGGGGAGGACGCGGGGGGTCTGCAGACCCGAGAGAAGCAGCACAGAGGGACCAAAGAGCGACTGAAGCGAGGGCATGCCGCGTTCCACCCCCTCGCGAGACCACCGCTTTCAACACCACCAAAGGCAGAGCGACAACGAGGACACTCCCATGCTCGGAACGCACGTACGTACGCACGCGCAGGTCGGCGCTGACCAAGAAGCTCCCCGCATCCCTCCCCAACTGGGACGGCACGATCTCGGCGGAACCGTCACCGTCACCTGGCCACCCCGCCGTGGTGGCCAAGCCTGCCACCAACGGCGTCCCACCGGCGGGAACGGACCCTGCTCCCGCGTCGTTGAGCTGGCGCGTTGCCTACCTGGGGCTTCACGCGAGAACGCTCCTGGCCAGAGACGCCAAGAGCCTCGGAAGGTGACGAGAGTAGTTGTGGGTGTGGTGGGTGTGTTAGCCTCTCTCTCTCTCTCTCTCTCTCTCTCTCTCTCTCTCTCTCTCTCTCTCTTTATCCCTATCCCTATCCCTATCCCTATCCCTCTCTCACTCGGAGTCAATGTGTGTTCCCCTCAGGAGTCTTGTTAGCGGGCCGGCGAGGCACAGTCGGTCTAGTGGAGGCTCTTCTCCTTGTTGTCGCCCTACCGAGTTTGCCTCTCTCCCTCTCTCCCTCTATCGGAGGTTTTTATTCCACGCAGTCTTGTTTAGCGTGCCAAAGTCGTTGTAGTAGATTCCTTGTAGTCGCCCTCCTTATCTCCCTATATTGCCGCCGCCGCCTGCTAATACCGATGGCGACGGGTCTCGCGTTGGCGCACAGCAACAGCGGGGGGCACCGCGGAGTAGACGTGCGGAAACTCGGGGTACCCAAGGGGCGGGAGCCGCTGTCCCTCGAGGAGATGTGGGACGTCGCCAAGGTGGAGTCTTTCGCTCCTGGGGACGAGGTGGTTTTCCTCAGGTAAGCGAGGAGGCGTGTGCGCCACGCGGGGAAGACGGGGCGGGGTGTATGCACTATGGGACCGCTTGCTTTGGCCTGGTATTTTTTCGTAGTTAGCTTACTTTCCATGCCTAGGCAGCCCTTTTTTTGCGAGGAGGTTGTGGTTGAGGCGTGTGTGAGATGGGGGCGGGGGTGTACTCATGTATACGATGGGGGGTCGTCGTCTGCTGCTTGGGTGCGCCGGTGAAGCGTGTTTGGGGCGGGGATATGAGGGAGAGCCCTTTGCTCCCAGGAAGAGAGGTAGATACATGTAGAGAGGGGGGGGGGGGTTGAGCGGGCCCCAGAAGCGGGCGAATTGATTTTTGTCGTTTTGTCAAACGATGCGAGTTCTTCGGCACGAACGTCGTACGTTCGACCCCCCCCCCCTGCTGGAGCACGGCGATGCCGCCTCAATACGCGCCAAGGGATGGCGGCCGCGTGTTTGCAAAAGACTCGGGCTGAATGCGATGAGCACCCCCCCTCCACCTGGTTTGGCGAGGCACAAGGATGACGGCCAGCGTCGGGTTGATCCTTGTGAAAGGTAGCCTGGGCCGGCGAAACCGGCATGTCGCTCCGTCCCGACAACGTAGAGATGCCATGTCTATCGTCAAACGACTGCTGTATGTTTTTTCACCCACCTTTAAGTCAGCACTGCGGCGAAGGTATCTTTCACACTTCGAGTAGAACCGGGCCATGCTCTGTCCTCTCGAGGACGCATGGCCAATGTGACTACCATCTAAGACATGAGAATACATCCCGCCCAATGTTAACAGCTAAGGCATGAAATACATGAGTTCACCCTCCCACCCTCCCCCCCCCTCCAGGACTGCGGCGAAGATATCCTCGCACTACGAGTGGAATAGGGCCCGCAAGGCCCGCGCCGCCGCTAAATCCGCCGNCGGCGGCGGCGGCGGCGTGGACCGTCAAGGACGATGCAGCTTTGCTGCGCAGCCTCGACGAGCTGAGGGCGTCGCGTGTGGCGGCGGCGGTGGCCGCTGCTACGGCGACGTCTGGCGCTGTGGGCGGGGCCGGCGGGGCTGCTCAGGAGGAGGACGAGGAAGAAGATGACGACGATGTGTGTTGACTCTCCTCGTTGTCTGTTGTTGGTGTTGTTAGTGCTGCTTGTGTTTGTTTGTTTGTTTTTTGCTCCTGCTGTTTGTTGTTGTTGTTGTAGTTGCTCCTGCGGCTGCTCTTGCTCTTGCTGCTGCTACTGCTGCTGCTATTTGTATATTTGTTTTGTTGTTGCTGTTAATGTTTTTCCGGTTTGTGGGGTTCTTGGGGGTGATGGTGCTGGTAGCGATTGTGAGCGGAGCGGATGTCTATTGTGCTAGCTGCCGGAGCGCTCGCCTCCGTTCTTTACCTGGACCAATCACGTTGTTCCGTCCATCAAGAACCTCCTCATCGCGGAATCGAGCACGGCCCACTCTTTCTTTCGGTGTGTTGCGAATGCCTGTACACGTTCCGTGTCCTTTTCAGATCTCGAAGCTGCAGTTCGCTGCTTCTGCTACCAGCGGCTTCTCCGATGACGGTGCGTTATTTTGATTTTTGGATGTTTCACGATGCGTTTTTTTTTTAGTTTTGACGTTGCGTTATTTATTTTATTTTTTGTTCATCGTTGTTGATTTCGGGGAACACACGCAATTGTTTCGACATTGAGCACCATGTCCTCTGTTTTGTCTAGCATTGCCGAAGGAAGGACAGTGCCCATCCCCTCATTACCCCTCCCCTCCCCCATATTTGGTGTCGAATCCCCCAAACCACGCTCAACAAAACGGTCTCCACACATTTTCTTTATAGAGCAATCCTTCAACACATCCATTCAGTTAGGGTTGTATATTGATCAGGTATCTCTCAACGATTCTAAGTATTTTTATTCGAATGAGAATGTGTATGCGTTTCCGTTTTTACATTTCAACCAAACGGTATCCATACACTTTCTATTTAGCAATCCTATTTCCTTCATCACGTCCATTCAGTTAGGGATTTATATTGATCGGGTATCTGTGAATGTGAACGTGAATGTGTTGTATGCATTTCCGTTTTTGATGTTACCCTTCCAACACGTCCATTCAAATAGGGACTTGCCTCGATCGGGTATATAGTGTCAGTGTTCAGATATGAATGTGACTGCGCAAAGAAACATTTCCGTGAAGTGCAAGCATTTCCGTTTTTGGCAGACGACGACAGCGACGAGGACGAAGACTCAGACGAGGACGACGACGACAGCGATGACGATTCTGAGGAAGGCGGCATCGCAGCCAACGGAGCGGGGGGCGGAGGAGGCTCGCGCTTCACGCTTGCCGACATCGCGGCCAAGGCGAAGCAGGCGGGGACGCCGCAGAAAGCAGGAGGGGCCGATGGAGGGGCGTCGTCCTTGGCTAGGAAGGGCGGTGTTGGCGGGGGGAAGGCTGCCAAAATATGGGGCAAGCTGTTGGGGCTGCCGCGTGTGGTTCTCCAGGTGTGTTGTGTTGGCGTTGGTCCTGTGATGTCGGTATGTATGTTGGCGTTTGTTGGTCCTGTGATACGGGTATGTATGTTGGCGTTGTCGCTGCGATCGTTGGTGGTTACCGTTATCGTGATTGCTGGTATAGCTTGTTGTTCGCATTGTTTTCCTGGTGTTGCTGTTGGTTGAGGTGCTCCTGCTCAGGTCCTGGGTGGTGCTCCTGCTGTTGCTGGTGATGTGATGTGGCGATGGTCTTGTTCTTGATATGTTTGCAGGCGTGATGATGCCGTCTACGGAGCGCTCGATGTGGCATTCGTTATCCGAATGTCCTTGTTTACGAGAGGTTGGCAGGATTGTTGAACCCACCTAGCGATTCGCTTGAAGGCAACCCCCTCCCCCCTCCGGGCGGCCGATGCTATGTCCGCTATGACAGATGGTGAATGAGCTGGTCGGAGAAATAATAGTTCTGATGGTATGTTGCCACACCTAGTATGTTACCTCACCAATCGCTGTCGTGTCCAACATGTTGAGACGTGCCCGTGGTATGAACCGATGACCGTAGCTGCTGTGCCATTGGTCGGTCGCCTTTGCTACATGCCCGTGCTGAAGGTGGAATCTGCGGGCATCGAGCTCCGCACGCGGATCGCCGGCGGCGCCAGGAAAGCTCTAGTCGCTCTCTCGGCGGGCGGGCTCACGGGCACCTTGGAGGGCGATGAGGTCCGTGATGCCAATATCTTGGGTCGTGCTGGTGGTGCTGCTCATGCTGTTGTTGTTGTTGTTGTTGATGGTGTGGTGATGGCGCTGTCGTTGCTAATGATGATGATGCTCTGCTGTCGTTGTTGCTGCTGCTGCCGGCGTCAATACTCTTGTTGCTTGCGGTGTCACTGCCTTGGGTCATGCTGGTGGTGCTGCTCCTGCTGCTGTTGTTGTTGACGGTGGTGATGCTGCTGCCGTCGTTGATACTCTTTTTGCCTGCGGCGATCTTGCCTCGGCCGCATTCGGCAGGCGCGGCAGGTGCTCTGGTGGGAGCTTCGCGTGGGCAACGTGACCCTTCGCGATCTCTGCAGCTCCTGGGGGGACGGTGCCAAGAACGGGGGGACAGGGGCGGCGGCGCCACCTGCCGCGAAGACTCTCATGTCTGGATCGGCTTCGGGAGTGGATGGACGGGATTGGGTGTCGGCCGGTGATCCCACGGGTGCTGCCTCAAGGTGATGAAGTAGGTTGGGGGTATGTTTTCTCCTGTCCATTTTTGGATGGAATGTACTGTCCATTTTTGGATGGAATGTACAATCCATTTTTGGATGGAATGTGCATACCATTGCAATGTGAGTCGCGCCGTTTGTTCAAGCGTTTGAGAGCGAAAGAGGTGCCTTTTTTTTTGACATGCTTGGATTTTCAGTGGCAGTGTTGGGGGGGGGCAAGGGTGAGAGCGTGAGTGGTTGCCATGTATTGCCTCAAGCAGTTTTGTGAGGTATGCGTTCCTTCGTCTGCGTATTTTCAAAAGCGCTTGCTTTCTGTGCGATTGGGTTCATACATCACCCACATGTTGTTCGCACTAGATTCTGTGCGCGAACTGTGCGACACACGTACGTTATTTGTTTGTGGTGCCCTAACGTGTGTATCGTGTCTACAGGTGTGTTCCCTACCGTTCTCGTACTGCAATCACCGACGCAGAAAAAACAAAAAAAAACAAGAGAAGACGCCATCGGCTTTTTCGTCCCTGTTGTTGTGACTCCCACCATATATTGTCAATTTTTTGCGTGAATTTCACGGATGAAACCAGGTGTTTCCTCGTGGTGAGGATGGTGCACGACCCAAACCGTGCCGCATGCGGGCTGTTCAGCAGCTCTGCGGCGCCCATGGCCCAGCTGCGGGCGCACGTTGTGGTCGGATGCGTTACGGGAAAGGTACGTTGTTTTTCGTTGTTGGGGAACGGTGTGGTCTGTTGCATTGCAGGAAAAATGGCATTTCGACGGAGCATCATCCACCCCAATGGACAACGGCACATAACGTCGATATATCTGGTTGGTGGGTAAGCGAAGTCATGGTGGCTTTGCTTTTTTTGCGCTTTTGTGGTCGCTGGTAGTCAGCATGCAGGAGGCGCTGCCACCGTGATAGTCCCACATTTAGGTTCCTCGCGGCTCATTTTCTAGGTGAGGAAGGCAACAGAGGATGTAAATATTAGAGGAGTGGCCAAAATCGGGTACACCCGGCCCCAATCCGGCCATTATCGGGTACACTTGTTTTTCACAGTCGGCAGCACCCTCATGGCGCCATCTGATTGGCCGACGACCGCCCCTACCCGGCCCTGACCCTATTCTCACCGGGTGCACCCGATCTTGGCTACTCACCCCCCGGAGGGGTACCCGATCTTACTCTCGCCTACCCGAAAATGGCTGGGCTATTCGACCAACAGACCACCAGCAGATCACGCTCACGAACACACGTCACCAACACCCCGCACTCGAGTTCCGACGCTTCCGACGGCGGGCGGAGGCGGACCTAACACGGCTAACGCGGCGGAACTCTCGTTTGAAGTAGATCTCGCTCCTGCAAGTAGATCTCGCTCCTCAACCCACCAAGTCTCTCGTGGTTAATCTCGGCACTCGTGCCTGAACGGTAGACTGGCATCGGCAGAATATGAGCGATGAAGTAGAGAACACCGCGGTCCTCGCGCAAGGCGCGTGCTACTTCACCACCAGCCATCTTAGGACAGCGTTCATGCTGCGTGTACCACCACTCTCTCTATATTTCACCATCTCCTGTGGCAAGCTACTCTCTCTATATAACACCATCTCCTGTGGCAAGCCCGCAGTTCCTTGCCTCTCCCACGTACTCACGAGTGGTTGAAGTCAAGGAAATATTATCGTTAATCTGAGGTCCCACGGCGTCCACTGCCTGCTGCTGCTGCATAACTGTATGTCTGTACTATCCTCGTCCTACACAACAATGTGTCATATATCTCCGGTCTTGATCGAGAC